TTCCGCACTCCCATTATAGGATCATGATGATGAGTTTTTTTCCATTTGCTCTATTTCGAACATTACTTCCTTCCTGCCTGCCTTACATTGAAGTTTTGCACTCTTCCCTGACCTTGTTAAAAGGCTTTTAAAGTTTTCTGCGCATACGCCATACGCGCATAACGCCGTTATCCAGTAGCGCTAATGCAGACTTACATTGTTCGTAGATCTACGCTGTACATTCCCTAAAGTGCAAGATCAAACCTTCAAGCTTCGTTGCGCCATTAATGGTCGGGCTTCTGTGGAGGTGGAGGGACATGGATCGCTTTGATCGATTTGTTTTGTTGAAACCAATGAAATTCCTTAAAAGAACCACGTTCGATTCTTCTCAATTGTCCTATTCGGAATGTGATTTTTTTACTTCTTGGTCGATGTACCAAAAATATCGGGTGTCTCTTACCATATTCGACTTATTTCAGCCGATGCACAGAGGAAAAGGTGATTTAGCGGTATTTGTGCATACATCGATGTAGACGATAAATGGTATGAATGTAATGAAAAGGTAATAAATGTGGTTAAGGTAATAACGTGCAATTGAAAGCAAGTAGGTGAGCGGTTGAATCATCATCGCCCTTACCGTTGTTTGCAGTAGGCTACGGACCACACTTTTTGGTGCTTCTGCTCGCTTGACTTATGCATCATTAAAGGCGTCCCTATACCATACAGACGTAGCTCTAAGACTATTGGAGCGTCGAGCGATGGGGATCGTCGACTCAGACGACAAACTATTCTGCAGTTGTAATCATTACTTTGACCAAGCTCACTTGGCTTGCTCTTATACAGCATAAACGTCCACTGATTTCCCTGGATTCATTCTAGCCCGATGGAATATAACTTCAGTTTTAATGAATATTTTCTTAGAACTGACAACAGCTTTCATTACAAAAAAGGATGAGGCCGAGAACAACACAAACGTAAATGCAATAAGGAAAAAGTAATTAAGTCGTCCTAAAAAATAGGCAGCAGCTATCTATACTCGGAACCGAGGCCACGTCAGCGCAATGCTCTGCGTATCTTCCGATGCTTGATGCGTCTATTTACGATCTCGAGGCCGAGATCGAACATCGAGGGGCGTGGTGCAGTAAGATCGAAATCGTCGCGTCGCGGCGAGAGAGACGACGCACGCGAGGGAGTGCAGCAGAATCAAGTGACAGGTAAGAAATACAGAAGCAAAAGAAACAGTAGGGTCATGCCTGAAATAGTGATCGCATATCGATTGAGTAATATGAAGAACGCTATAGCTGTAATAGCGGCGAATGGTCCGCGACAGCCTTGAGCGGCGAATCGATTACGCAAATCCGATCCTAATGCCCATCTCCCGGCATCGACCAGAAGGGTGTCATATATGTATACTACAATCACCATATCTATGAACCTCATTTCATTCTATAGTATTATGTTGTCGAAGGCAGACAAACAGACTGCCAATGAAAGATGTGTAATGGAAATGATCAACCGCAAACGTTTGGATGGACGAAAGACCAACAGCCCAATCGAAAAATCTTACGGCCTTAGCAATGAGCGCACTCCCACCGATTTCATGACTTTCATCGATAATCGATGACATCAAGATGCACAGACCAGCGCCAGGTTATCGCCGAAGGCTGTTGAAGCTCTGTCGTGACGAGAGTACGACCTTGTATACTCCCAGGCCAAACGGCTAACCTGAAGGATGCCTTGCGCCTCGAGCCACAAGGTCATTACACGAAAGCTTTGTCGTGACCCTCTCGATGTCTGGTGCTTACGCGGCGGACTGGTTACGTAATTGCATCAGCTCGTGTCTTCCTATACCTATTTACCTACTTCCGATATTGCTCCAATTTCATTTTATCAACTGCCAGTTGGGCTGCGCACGCTAATGCGTGCACTACATTTACACCACCGCTTACCTACTACTTGTTAGAGGACGAATATGAACTGTATCGTTTGACTTCCCATTTCGTAACCGTTTCCTCACCGCTCTCACGTGACCTTCACACTCTTCATCGTGTCTAAGTGACTTTCGGAAGGACGCACAAACCGACCCACAAACAGACACACAAAGTAACCGCTTCACGTATAGAGACGGTCCGCAGGACCTCCTTCCTCCTATGATAGGGTCGTGATAAAAGGAAAAACAGATCACTCCTTCTTTGAAGGCATGATACTTTTCGAAACACGAAGTTCGATAGAGGAACAATAGGGCATGCAAACGATATTCGAAATGTGCCGATGCCTATGCCTTTGATTAGAATCTGTCTGTCTCGATCTGTCATCGTTGATGTTGAAAAAAGCGACCCATTGAAAATTTAAGTGGTAGGCATTCAAAGCCCTGAATGGTACTCACAAATGTTGCCGAATCGTAATAATGCCATTATCAAATGTCTTTGAATGTAGCTCCTTTACTCTACGAATGCTCATTAAATGAGAACCCAAGATTGTTAACGGTCAGATAAGTTTTGTCATGAACGATATCAAAGCAGAGAGAAACCGTGATCTTTCAACGAATCGCATACTTCGCTGGGTAGCGGTCGTAAGCAAGAAGTGAACCAAATTTCATTGAAACATATCAAGGAATCACACCTAAATCGTAAATAACAAACGCGCTTGGATTCAAATGGTGATCGGATTTCGTTCTCTAAGCCTCCTCTATCTTCAGAGTTCCCATCCTGCCCTCTCTGTTCCTATTGTTTCTGCTGTCCAAGTCCGCGGGGGGCAGGACTTACGGATTTTCGCTCAGACATTTACTTCGCACAAACCCCGCCCCAGAGGGCGGAGTCCGGTCCTGCTATCCACCATAAGTGTTCGCATACTGCCGCCTGTCTTCCTACCATGTTTGAGCGCCCTAGGACTAAATTGACAATTGTGTCGCAAGCCCCGCCTCCTGTGGCAAGATCCTGCCACCCACCATTAATGTTCTCACCCTGCCTCGGGTACTCTTACCCAATTAGAAGTTTCTAGGTTCACAGGGACAGGTGTTATGATTTTGCGCTGAAACATTTATTCCGCACAAACCCCGCCCCTGTGGAGGAGAGCGGTCCCGCCACCCACCATATGTGTTCCCATTCTGCCGCCTGTGCTCCTACCAAATTTGAACGTCCTAGGTCCACAGGATCAGGAGTTATGAATTTCCGTACAAACAGACAGACAGACAGACAGACAGACGGACGGACGGACAGACAGACGCGAGCCTTTATATAAAGTGAGGATATAAATCTCAAGTTACAGTTATTCAGCAGTGCCATATATATAGCCGTGCCATGATATTGAGCCAAACAGTATTTGTGTAGTAAGAGGATAAACATATAATGATGAGCTCGTGTAATGTAAGAGATGTATGTTGTTTAATAGGAACAGCTGGATCAGTGCTTAAGACGGAAGGTAACACGGGAACAGTGACCAGGCACTAGATACCCTTGGGTTTTGTGGTGATGAGGGTTAAAATCACCGATGCTCCGCTCATGCGGGCTCCCTGTTACCACAAAATTGGTGCATCGGCCGCAGCCAACTTACCGTGGACCATTCTTGGCTGTGAAATCAACCCGTAGTGGCGCACTCTTGTGAGGAGCAAAAACAAACAGCAATCGATGGAAGGGTAGCGTTTGATGACAACATTACTGTAGGCTCAATTACTGTATTCATGAGTTGTAGCCAGAGCCGCTGTCGGGATCTGTGGCAAGGATCTCTTTAGCGTAAAGTCCTTAGACAATCTTCACAGGTACCAGTGGGCAGCTAGGGCCCACATGGATCAGGTTGAAGGCTCTGTTCGCGTGCGTGAGTAGCAATCACAGGTGTTTCTGCTGGGAAGACCTCAGCTATAATATGTGAATGCCATTGAAAAGGCGTTGTTAATGCGGGATGCTCTCTGGAAGGCCGTTGATGCCACGGGGTAGGCCCAGGTACACCATTAACAAAAATTCAGAGGTTGGTTATAACTGCTGTTTCGCACTCGTCAGATGGTAATGTAATTGGAGACGTGACAACTCATCGCTCATTGATTGCTAAAAATCAATATCTCCCATCATTATCGGGTAGTCAATCAAGGCCCTTAATACTTTTCACAAGCGCATTGGCAAACTCGACGATTTCGTGTATTGAGAATGCCTCCATCGAACAGCACGAGGATTAATAGACCGCATCGTTTATTTGTCGAACGTATTCGCCTCTATTTTATGCAGCTGCAGTCTAATACTTTTAGTTACAGGTTGTTGTGGTTAGTCTTGGTCGCAACAATATGTCCAACTTACGAGGACATAAGAGCCGTGTAATAATAGCATTTGGTGTTCTTTCAAAAACAACCTCTTCTGTTGATATAACCTACTTAATATCAATAGATACTTCAACCACTCCAACGTTCAAATTCGTGAAATTATTCGCCGCAGAGCAACAATTTGTGGTAGAAAATTCGCAAGCCAACGAGCGACCAAACCAACAGCACGAGCGAACATTCAAGAATTCAGCGTTCATCCAGTTTCTACGTTTCTTTCGAGGTCTAATTCTCCAGAAATTAGCTATAATCCTAGTTATTGTTCTTTTTGTTTTTCACGTAATCATAGTTCAATGCGCTGTAATCGGACTATGCCTGTGTCCACCAGACGTATTATTGTAAAGTCTCTCAAACTCTGGTGGAGATGTCTGAGGCAGGGACATACTATATAGTTCCCACTGAGGTTATCCTAAGTGCACGAAATGTAAGGAGAAACCATCATTCGATTCTTTGTGGGAAAGATGCATATCACATAACAGCTATGGAAATCGTGATTATGATCGCCATCGCATACCATCTACGGATACTTCTACTAATCGTGAGTTTTCAGGATCGCCTTCAAATAAAAGTGGTATGAAGCAGTCGACAACTCGTTCACACTCGCCAGCTTACCGTTTACACTCGCTAGCTTACCGTTCAGATAGTGCTTCGTCCGTTCGGCACAAGTTGCGACGTGTCAGGAACCGCACAATTCGTTTCGATACGCCAGAACAACATGAACAGTCACCGCGTTCAGGTGGATCCCTGCCCAAAGGGGACGGGAACCACAGTTCAACTTGTTTCAGAATCGGAACCAGAATATGAACAATCAGATTATGAACAGGATTCGTCATTGGGTATACAGTTAGTCGCACGCACCGGAAATCCGGAACGTGCTACACTAATGACTGCTACACTAGTAACTGTTCAAGCTTACATGATTAGTTCTGAGACAAAAGAACGACTACCACTCATAATTCTCCTAGACATTGGAGCACAAACAAGCTTTATCAGTAAGGCAGCAGTTAAACAACATCAACTCGACGTGTTTGAGGAGGCTCCGATGACAACATATGCCTTTGGGGCAGTGAGCACAACAGAACAATCGGGTAAGATGTACGTCACCCTCGTTGACAGTTACAATCACCCGTTATCTCTTGTTCTCGATACCAAAGATAGGCTTACTATTCCATCTTCACCAACATGTCTGACAGAAAAAGTACTTCGACAGTGAGGTACTTCGTACACTTAACGTGTCACTTCATTCGCTTACAGCGCTCCGTGTTTGATGCTTTGTCCCACTATAAAGGGGCACCTAGATTCAATGATTGCCTGCATTCTGAGCCTTCAAAATTACCAGATCTCGTTGGCATATTAATTCGTGCTCGTTTACATCAGTATTCGCTTTTTTTAGGAAAGCATTTTTGCAAATTAGATTGCAAGTCGATCAGAGAGATGCAACTAGATTCTTATGGTTGAAAAATCCGGACCCACCGCCGTCAGAAACTAATGTGAAAAAATTTCGTTTTACGCGAGTCCCCTTTGGAATAACTGCATCACCCTTTTTGCTATCTGCTTCCATAAAATATTGTCTTCGTCGTGATGCACAGTGCCGCTGAATAAAGAAATCGAGTCAAAAATTTACGTAAATAATGTTGTTGCTGGTGCAGCGACAGAAAAGAAGCTATTCGGAGATACCAAGAATCAAAGTCCCTATTCGCATCAATGAACATGAATCTTCGTGAATTTGTTTGCAACTGCAACTGCAACAACTGCAACTGGTAAAATCAATGCAGCAATTGAATCAGTAGATCGTATGAAAACAAAAATCAGTAGATCGTATGAAAACGTATGAACAAATATTGTTTCACTCTTAAGTATACGTTGGAATCCTCATTCAGACAATATTTTGATTCCGTTGAATCGCACGTTATCAAGATAACTCTAAGCACATGGCACTCAAGACTTTAGCCTTGACACTTAATCCTTTGGGAATTTTGTCACCCTTTTTGACTCCATTCAAAGTTCCAAGCTGCAACATACTTGGTTCAAATCATATCAAAGGGATGATCCGTTTGATACGCAAGATCTACACCGATGGCAGCAACTCGTTAACGATATTCAAAGTCCGGATCCTGTAATACATCGTTGTATACTTCCACCATCTATTGCTAAACTCGAACTTTGTGTCGGATGCAATGAGTTGGAGATGCGTCGAAAAGGCTATTCGTAAGAATGTAAGAATATGACCATGCCTCGCAGGGATTTATTGGCCACTCCCATAGGCCTTCGTTTAGTTAAATTCGTTCATACTCAACTTCGATATAATATTTCAGCAATTAATGTTTTCTCGGATTCTCGAATCGAGCTACATTGGGTGCACTCAAAGCGCCCTTTAAAAATTTTCTTTAGCAACAGAATCGTGGAAATACGGTCCATACGAGATCAATTCTCCACCTCGCAGGCGCAGGAGCATATACGGTAGACTAAGCCATCATTTTTGCGATTACCAAGGTCTTATTGCCCTATGAGCGGAGGCTTCTCACAGCCAGAATGAATATTAGTTGCTCACAACTTCATAAGTTGTTAACTATAGTATATCACCATTAAGGTATAGTTCAATCAGTCACTATTATACTTGTTCGCTCGACAGTTTACGTCCTCAAGTTTATTTATTTTCTTTTCGAAAGAATTAAGCGTCACCCCACAGTGTTCGATTTCAAACAGTTCAATTGTGCAACTGATATATCCGCTGCGGAATATGGGGAAGCAGAGATTTTCCTCATTAAAGAACACTACCGCAAAAGCAAAGCAATTCTCAAACGTTTACCGCTACATCGATTTAACGCTAAAGGAACAGATAATAGTCTTATATGTTGTCTTCAGCGCATGCAACTAGCAGATAACCTTCCCTCTTTACCCATACTTTTAGTCCTATCTCACCCACTTCTAGAGCTCGTTATAACTTACATCCTTCGTAAACTCCCATTCATGCGTACATGCTACAATAGCGGCCCTTCGGAAATCTTACTTCATTCCATCCATTCGTGGTACGGTTGCAAAAGGTCTACGTAAGTGCATTATCTGTAGGAAGCTCAACGCTTTGCCGTATCCTGGTATGTCAAATTTACCGAAGGATAGGGCTAACCGGGCACGTCCGTTTCAAAATATACGACTGGATTACTTAGGTCCACTTCAATACTTGTACATCATCCAGACTCTTTATTTGCCTTTTCACCTGTATGGCCACTAGAGCCATTCATCTTGAAGTAGTACTAGGTAACTCGACTCAAGAGTTCCTTCTCGCATTTCGGCGCTTTATAGCGCGTCGAGGGAACCCTGATTTGTTCCTTAATGACAATTCGTCTTCACTCAGGTCGGCGGACGACGCCTTACAACATGTTATTTATGCTCAGACAACATCATCGCAACTGACTAATTATTTTGCTTGTCATCGCATCCAATGAAAATTTATAACCCCCTTTCTCCTTGAAAAAGAGGTTTTTACGAAAAACTAGTAGGTCATGTTAAATCCGCTATACGTAAATCCATTGGTCGTTCTCTCATTCCGCTACGGCAGTTTCACGCACTTGTGTGTGAACTAGAGACCACTCTCAATTGTTGCTCTCATACATCATTTCCAGATACTACCAATTCGCCTAACATATTGTGTCCTGTGGATTTTCTTGTGCAACTTCAAGTACCAGCAACGATGAACGATTAGACCCTTGACTTGTCTTCTCACCGACTAGCTGAACGGAACGGAACTACCACATCAGTACTCGACCAATTCTGGGCCATTTGTTTCACCGACTATCTCTTAGCCTTGCCACAACATCAAATTGAACGTACTCGGTAGGGCAAGTCAACTTCTCCTACACCACAAATAGGAGATATTGTACTTATGCGGATAAACAACCTCCTCGAGGTCAATGGCCAACTGCGATTATAACAAGTCTACGCTTCGACAGTTCGACACAGGTTCGAGAAGCAACAGTGCGCACCTCCAACGGAAATAGCCTTCAAAGATCCATAAATCAACTTTATCCCTTAGAAATAGTGGCTCAAGAGGACGATCCAGAAACTGAACACCAAAATCCTACACAAGTTCAACCATTCAGGACTGCTAAACTTAAGCGTTCATTCACACAATACCGTTAACTCAATTATAAAACAGTTTCGCATACGATCATTTGTCACTCCCCTTTTTTTCACTTTTCTTCGAAACTGTTCCCCAAAAGCTTGTGATTAGCTTAACCCATACTGAAATTTTGCCTAATCGGACTTATTATTCGAATAATCGTAAACACGACATGGATCGTCTCCTTTCGTTTATAAGGTTCAGTAACTGGCGCCTGCCAGCCGACATTCACTTGTTTCGGGCACACTCCAAGAATGACATGACATGCTCTATAGCCAAGAAGCGCCCTTTAAGGATAAGCACATGGAAACGGCAAGAGCGTTATTATGAAATCTGTCCCTTCGGATCATATATAAGGACTTGCGTATTATGAAAGGCAATAGGATTCGACACTGGACAATCAAACATCTCCTTTCCTTTTAATTTTCTGTTAAGTAAATTGGTTAAGTAGCTCTGAGCGCATACTGTAAATTATCGAATTCGTGCTTGTAGCCCTGAGCTTTTCTTTACAATGACCAACCAAAACTAAGTATCTCTATCCGCCGTCCTGCCCTCGGATATCACTCACTACTGTCTATTTACTAATCACCACTAGCTACTAAATTCGACTAGTTCGATTTCTACTTCATTCTAACTCATGAGTGCAGCCATGATGTCGCTGAATATCGCTACCGATCCGTGAAAGACTTTTAACTCGTTATTATTAACGGAGCAATAACCTAGGATATTGGCTAATTCTATTCTGAGTTAATTGTACCTTTGACATAATTCTTTGTCTGAGTCAATACCCAATGACAGCCCGATTCTCAGATCTTTCTGTCCTGCAGTAATTCATTTGTCAGTCAGTAAGAGCGGTGATTCAGCTGTCTGATCATTATGGATATTGCCGTTTCTATGCAAGGTGCACATTAAATCATTGTTCAGCAGTAAATTTGCCAAGGGTTTGAATGTCATTTCTTTCCAAGGAATGTAAGCGAATGTATGGGCACAGATACAAAACTACGCTCCCCAATGACCTCTTCATTTGATTACTGATTTCAAAGGCTCTCAAAATGCTTGTAAGCAGTTATACATATATCGACCTTCTTCGACCTTATGCCCCCTCCGATTTAAGACTTACTCTTGTATAGGTAGCCTTCCTATGTACCGTGGCACAGTGATCATATTGGTTCTGGTTTTATGCAATACGACATCAAAAGTATCGGATACCTTAGGATTTTTACAAACATTTCATTAACTTCACGGTTTTCGTCTATCATTTGCTTTTCCTTTCTTCAATGATCTTTCACTTTCCTTTCTCTCTTTCCAATTTTTCAATAAGAGATACTCATCCCTTCGAGAAATATTGACTCACAGCAGGATATAACCGCTCCAAATGTGCATCATCGCTGCTATTGTCGCGATTCGTTGCAGACTATGGCAATTATTCCTTCATTCATCCCACTTGAAATTGCATATTCGCCACCGTCACGATCTATTATTTGTAATTCGGGTGCTTTCGTATCTAAACAGTAGCTAATGTGTATAGTGCAGCAGTTTTATTTCAAGACATTTTGAGCGAAAGTGCGATATGTTGGGCCGTGAACGAAAGCGGTATACAGGTGGCGATGAACAAGAATCGACGCCCACGAGCACAGGCTCGACAGTGGGTTCAGCCTGTGAACCTATAAAGTTAACATCTTCTAAACTTGATGCAGTCATTGTATCCGCTCAGTCTGATTCTTCGTATTATTTTTCCTTGGTCCCCATTAATACGGAATTCATTTCTTCTTCTCGCTATTACTGCGCTTAAAGGGATCGCTCTTCTTCCGGCGGTTCGCTCGGCTCCGATGTATCGCCCTCGGCACTGTCCCAGTTTGACAATCCTCCATCTTCAGGAAGGTCTTCGCGGGACACAAGACCAATAAGTTCTGTCGACTTGATTACACGACACAGGAGTTTCCACCGAATACAGACAGACGACGGACTAAGAAGACGCGAATACTGACAGCGCTGTCCCCCCAGAGGATCGTCTACCTATACGCATTGCGCAGTCTTTGATCATGGCAGTTACCTTTGACCGGACGTTTAGACTGCACCAGATGGCGTCTACCGATTTCTTATTCATCGATACCTTCCTACGACACTACCCGTCTGTTCGTCAACAAATTGTGGACTAGACTTTGGGCCCAAGAAAAGCTGAAGTGGACTATCCTGCGGTTCAGAAATACTCGGTCTATCTCACAGTGCAGCATTTTAGAGGAGTCCATCACGCAACTATGAAGCTTACTCAGTTTCATAGTCGTTTGGCGGACAATTCGAAGTACTGGAAATCGGCAAGTGTTCTTCTTGACTTCTTCCACTCATGTGCAACGTCATGAAGCATCGTCAATCTCCGTCGGACTTAATATTGCCGCACATCTTGAACCCAACTGAAGTTAATCGCAAACAAACGGATCTTCTTAATGAATATGATCTAACGCCATTCGTATCAAACATCTATTCGCAGCGGCTGCTGCGGCATTAATGTATGCCTTTGCGGATTTGCAGACTATGACGTCAGCAGTGGCCCGACTCCATACTGAGATGTTGGACAAGCTAAGATCGGAGGCTCAAAAATCATACCCAAAGGGAACAGGCTCCCGAACCGGAGGCTAGAGCTCCGGATCAAGGCTCTAGCAAGGACGAAACATCGAAGTCGGGTACGATAAATACGTATAGAGTGGCGAGTCCACGCAGTACAGCGAGGTGGTCTAGCCCCAAGCGGAAAGATTCTCCTTTTCAGGATTCTTCTCTCGGGCCATCCGGCAGCGGCAGACGTTCTCCGGAAATCATTCGTAGCCATTTTTGTAGAGGGAATTATTTTACTGCAGAGTGCCGCAAAGTAACCAATTTCCGTGAAAGATGTGTCCGCATCGCGACAGAAAGACGTTGTCTTCGTTGCTTGTATGTCCACCCTCCGGGCAATTGTCGTCGAACTCTAGCGTGTCGTGTATGCTATAGCCAGACTCATCACCATGCCGTGTGCCTCAAAAATGATGAACTTGACAAAGAGATAGAAAAAATGTGATAAATTTTTATCGAGCTATGACGTCACTATACGAAGAACACCACGCAGATCGAGCATAGTGAAGAATTTGGATAAGTGAATTTTTATCCTTTATAATTCTACCCTTTTTGAATTCCTTTTACTCATTTGCTTGACTTTACTCTTCTTACCCACTTACTTACTTGGCTTGACAACTTCATCCATTAGTTACTTGGAGTACGGATTGATGAACAACCTATGACTAATGTCCTTTTCTGCAGATTCTGGAAGATGAACAAATTTGCTTGAGTTTCATGCGGTCAAGGTCACACCGGTTTGGTCTACCGTGCTTATCGCAACTGCTTTGATGAATCTCATTGGCTCTGTACGATCTCATCGGCTCAAGACGGTCTCACTAGCTCTAGACGATCTCGTCGGCTCTGACGATCTCATCGGCTCAAAAAGTACCTCGAAGACTCAAAACGTACTTCGACAGCTCGAGATGCCCTAAGGGCTCAAGGTTTTATGGCATTGTCTTCGCCTCGTTTTTATTAGGAATTGTCTTCTACACCAGTCTTGCCTATTAGTGTCTTGCCTGCCTTAACGGCTGAAGACTTCGTGATGATCATTAATGTCACCCAATAATGCCACGACAAGTAAACCCATTGTGTTAGCATTAGTAAGCTGCCTCTTACTCCAATCTTGTTCCAATACCAAAGTAGTACTAGGCTGACTCAAGAAAAATAATTAACAAAATTCTAAATCCAATTGTTTCCTAAATTTTAAACAATTTATTGTTCAATTATATGTGTGCCTTGCTGCATGCTTGACCTTGCCATATGTTAGCCTTACCACGTTATTATCAGTGCCATATATTTGGCCGTGCCTTGATATTGAGCTTAACCAGTAGTTGTGTAATAAGAAGATAAACATATAATGATGAGCTCGTGTAATTCAAGAGATGTATGTTGTATAAGAAGAACAACTGCATCCGTGCTAGAGACGGAAGGTAACACAGGAACAGTGACCAGGCACTAGATACTCCTGGATTTTTTTTTCTCTCGAAAGCTCCACAGAGCTATGCGGAATGCTCTATTACTTCCTGTTCCAGCGTCTTTATCAGACACAGGTGAAGGAAAAAGGACCTCCAGAAGTACGCATTCGTTGAAAACTACTCCTTGCGATGTTCCTCTCTTACTTAATCACTGATTCGTCATTGAACACTTCTTTCCGAAACCAAACTCGTTTTGTAAAACTAATATCGAAATGCAGTTGTAAAAACATTCAGCACTTCGTACGTAAAAACAAAAACGAAATATAACTGTTTCCCGTAAGCACAACAACTCATGTCTAAAGGATGGATAAGCAGTGTTCGATCAAATAGATGACTAGGTATTTTATACGAATAACCTAATTCACCCTCTTTATAATAATAATTATAAACCTGTGAAAAGCATAGTACTTTTCGTACCCAATACTATTATATAATATGTTAAGGATTTATTTCCACTTATTTCCAAACTACATATTACGGTAAGTCATAAGTCCTCGGGCAAATTGACAATGATTATATTTACCTAACAATTTTCAAACGATAATAGCGAACCATTTGAAATATGCCCTATTGGCATCGATGGTCTTTCGCCAACGCATGGACAGAACGTAGATGCCCTTGCTCCTGAACGCTGAGGGCTGTTCCTTGAAGAACTGATCGAGTGCCATATTGATATCATCGCGAGTTCAAAAGTCTTGACCACCCAGATGACGTTAGAGATTTGGAAAAAGGTGGTTATCCGAACAAGCCAAGTCTGGGGAACATGGTGAGTGTGGTAAAATTGTCCTGCCGAAGTTCATTGATTCAGTTTTGAATGTTCTTGCAATGTATGGCCGAGCTTTGTCGTGTAAACGTGTAAGTGTCGGAAGTAAACTTTTTGCTGGTGTGGACGTGTAGCTTCGAGATTCGCCTTCAAATTCCTCAGTTGCTTAACGTAGACGTCTGCGGTCACTGTACATCCTTCGCCTAGCAGCTCCCAGTATTCGACACCGTGAACACTCTACCAGATGCCTAGCATAACCCTTCTTGATGTATCCGTTGAGTTTAGGGAAGTCTTCTGCATCCGCACCTTTGTCAACCCATTAACCACGCTTGTGAACGTTAGAGTAAGAATCCTCTACTCACTACTCACTATTTGCTCGAGCCACAAGTGGGTGCGTTGTACGTGGGGGGAGAAAGTGCCATGTCGGCGCGGCGGTCCATATCATACTGCTTCAAAGCATGAGGCACCCATCGACCGAGCTTTTGCACCCAGCCGATTGACTTCAATCCACGAATAACTGTGGACTAACTCTCCCCAAAGTGACTGCCGGTTCGCGAGTAGTTTGATACAGATCGGCTTCCATCTGGCTCCATAGCACGTTCAAATCCAACTCTAATGGGTGTCCCGGACGGTGATCATCCCCAATGGAATAGTCGCCCGACGCGAACTTCGTGTGCCATTTGCGAATTTTGCTTTTGGCGAAGGCGTCATCCTTACATATTCCCTTCATCCGTCTACCGGTAGCTGCGGTTTCTTGGCCAGGTAAAAAAAAAGAAATAGGATGGTGCTGCGGAGGTGGAATTGTGACGGCTTGGAATCAGGGGCATGGTTGCAGGAAGGGAAATGGTTAGGTGTATTCGTTAGTATGTATTTGGAAGAGCTTTTCAAACTCTATCTAACGATGCCTCGGTCGCCCATATTCGTCAGCTCTTTCCCGAGTCATGACCTCTACAACTTATCACTGTCGCATTGCCCGAGGATTTATGACTCAACCTAATACTTCTGGAGGGCTGTTACGCAAAACAAGGCATTTATTCCTGGTAAAAAAAAATAATTGAAAAATGGGGAACGAAACGATACATTGTTAACGTTCAATGTTTATTAGTAGACCAACATAAACAGTCTCAAGAAACCTTGTCAAAAATCGAGTATAATGACAAATCAGAGAAAAAGTGACTTATACTTTTGCAGTGATCTAATTCTGAGAGCATGCCTAATTCGATGATTCCACGAACGAGTAGATTGGAAGTTATTTCACACGCCGATGTACTAGAGTTGGATTCACAAGTGGACGTCTCTGCACTGTCTCCTTCCGCCTCGAAGGCATTTTCCCTTGGATATCCACGTTGTACATCTCCAGAGTTGAGAAACATTTCACTCCTTTCGGAGGAATGAAGCAACGAAGTAGAAGCGACCTCTCTGGTTGAATTCTCGATAATACCGAAATCTAGACGCGACAATGAACATGGTACAGCAAACAATGACACCACAGAAAAAGTGTACACTAAAGTTATCAAACTGAAACATGAAATCAGTGACTGAAGCATGGGTAAAAGGGGTAGTGTTGAGCTGAGTTGAGCAACTTCATTGTAGGTACAAAAACCATTCTTCGTTAGGAAGTCATTTGCAACCCAATATTCGAAGAAATCCAACCAACGATTGAACTCGTTCTGATCCACCATCACATTCCAGTTCTGAGAAATAGTGAACTCTAACGTACAAAAAAAAATAGTTCTACGAATAGAACAACCTATAGAGAAAGACGGCAAAACTAACAAGTTTCTGCACGAATTCCCATTCCAACTGATTTAGATGTTGTGTCGAAATGTTAGCCGCTTCAGACCATTCAGCATTTGATGCTCTATCATATGTGTCCGAATCATGGAGAAACTTTGATGCTAGTACCAATGCGGGCAGATAAAGATCAGTGGGGTCAGACGATTCGAACCACACCTGGAAAGACAAGGATCACATTTTATAATCTAGGAGTTTAAACAGCCTTTTCTCCCAATATTTTAGGATGATTGCAAAAGAAAAGTCAAAAGTCAAGCAATCTTAGAGAATTTCTATATTTTCTTTCCATTATGTAACGACGCCGACCGCTGTGAGCAGATTAAGCAAATTTTTCTAGATGAACTTCACAAAAGAATAAACGAAGCAACTGGGATGATCATGCGCAAAAACTGTCGCTAGCTACCTCTGCTGTCCATCAAATTATGATTTGATCATTTATGAGTATTTATGCTATTGAAACTCACATATGCCGCTGAAGTTAAGCCGACAGAAGAACAGATAAATATCTCAAATCTCGAAAGATATCAAAAACAAAGTTTCCACTGGCAAAAAAAATGTGACTAATATATATTCGCTTATATTCTCAAATCATAAGGTCATTTAAGGAAATGGCACACTCCGATGAAATTATTCATGTTTTGATGTTTGTGTAACAAAGAAGGTGGGAAAAGGAAATGTTACCAGCTAACTAATCCAAAATACTCTGAAAAGAAACAATGTCTTAGGAAGCTTTGTACCTTATTGTTAACCCTAAGTCGATCGAGGTAAACCATGGCAACGACGAGAGTACAGGGATCGGCATACCCACGACCCGAGATGCTTGCTGACGTTTCCGGACTCAAGTAATCAAAAGGACTTCGTTTGTTGAAGTAGTCCACAACTAGCTCTGCAATTCGATTTGAACGCATGATCAAAACAAAAAACAAAATAATGTCTATAATAATCATAACCACGAAAAAAATGCCAAAAAAGCACTGAAACCTAAAAAGACAGAAAGCGATTTTCAAGCAAACACTAGCATACTACCGAGCACTGGGGAATTAAATCAAAGACTCTTATACTTTACACCTTGACATCTTCGGACATCACTACCCCTTTACCAAAGCGAAAATGTGGCACACTCAAGAAGAATTACGAATTCCTAGCGTGCTTAGCATGAAAAATTATGAATAGCAATAATAATGACAAGAGTACACGCTCTTGCTATCTTGCTATCTTACCCTTCTCTACAAACAGTAGAGCCTCTCAAAGCGCTGTAAAAGAATTAAAAAGGCATACAATATACCTGAAAGCGGTAAGTTCAGATTCTGCGGTTGCTTCGATCCATAACACAACGTTCTGCGTATTCGCCTTCGAACTCGTCTAAAATCAGGAAACTGGGGTGCCATGGCCTGAAAACATATCAATTCAAATTGAAAGGGTAAAAGGCTGTCTAGGGGCGAACGAAGGCGAAGAGGTAGGAGGAGGAAAAAGCGAGATTTGAATTGAATGAGAGTATAATAGTGTCAGAGTAGCAATTAAATCGAACTCCCCCCCGCGCCTGCGCTTGTGTACACACACATGATTTTTAGCGTCTGTAAACGTGCCCCTCTATCCGTTATGTTTATGATTTTTAACGAATTAATATTGGCGCCTAAATTAACACATTGTGGCACGACTGGACTAGTACTTATTGGGGGATAATCGTGGGATCAAATCACAGTCCATCCCTTCTACACCCTTGAAATAACACAAGATTAGTCACAGTCACCTAAACAAATAGATGTCCGAACATGCCGCGCTCACCGCCTGACGGAGTGCGCAAAGGAGGCGTAAGAGTTGAAAATCCGAATGGATGGTTGCGGAAATTTCGAAATTTCCGTGAAACAACTGCCGTATGCGTGCCTGGCGACCATGGAGATTTCGGTAAAAAATCCTCCATCCAAGCAAATCAGTACGACAAAATATGTTCTCTGAGAATGAGAGAAAATGGATATCAGTTCCTTTTATCTCAAGTACAGGCATCGTTCCTGAGGCAAAGAACGATGTTCATGTGCAAACCGTTACCATGACTCTTTTTCTCGAGGGAAAGTAAGGTCAAACATTGTGGAACTTTTTCTTACAAGGTCCTTGTGTAAGATAGGATTCGGATCTCATCTAGATTAAAACGCTTCTAAAAGTGTTATGATGCGAAGCATCTAATATCGACTTTGAACAGTACAGAGAGATTAATACCTCATGATACACTTCTTATTGTCCTGTCCTTATATAATATTTTACTTTTTACACATTCTATCAGCTGGTTTTCCAAAACGGACATCTTCGCACTGGGTTCGGTGAAGGCTCCCTCGCCGTCCAGCTGTGGATGCCGCCAAGTACATTCTTGGCTGACAGCTTGAGTGAGAAAACTCCATCGATATTTCATTTTAATCGTTCTCGTACTTCCCTTACTTTAATTCATCATATTTAAGCACTTCCATTACCATATTCACTTAATATCGGCGTCAAATTAAAATTGTCAATGTAATCGCTAACAATTTACTGCAGCAGCTACTAAAACTTATTGTTCTGCTTATCACAACGGAAATTAGGAAGAGAAAATGAGAGAAATACAGTGCTACTTTACGGTGCTATTTATAAACTGAGGGGCGGCTGCGGAATTCGCTGTGGGACCGCAATACCGTAACGCGCGCCGCGCTCATGTGATTAGTTGCTGCTGGACTAAATTTAAACTGAAATGAAAGCACCAGGATGGGGAATGGATGAAAGGAAAGGAGCACACAGCACCCAACACCTTCATTTGAATGTACAGAAAAGGGAAGGTGTTGGGTGAGGCGCTTCACTCGACTGATTGAGCCAAAGGCAGGTGTGTTGTAAGAACTCCTTTGGAGAAAGTACTCACGTTAAATTGGAACTTTAGGCATTGCGCTCTAGTTGAGGAATCGTTTGTGCATGTGCGGGCACATTTGTTCCTTTTAGGATTTATCATCATTATGAATCTTCCTCTAAAGCAACTAGGGTGTGGGTTGTGCTACCCGGGAGTAATCATCGAGTGCCTGTCACTGCTTATACCACAACAAGACTTTTGCTTTGAAAGTCCTACATCAAACTAGCAGAAGTTTTCAGAACTTGAATACCTGTTTGTCGCCCTAACCTTACTGATTATTACCTACTATTATAACTTGCAGCTGTCACCCAACACTTTTTCCGTACATTTCTCACCCTGGTAACTTTTATTTCACTTTTAAATTTAGGCCAGCCGCAACTAAGCACATGAGCGCGGGTTACGGTACTGCGGTCCCACAGCGAATTTCGCAGCCGCCCCTCAGTTTATAAATAGCACCTTACTCACTGCTATTTATAAACTCACTAACTCCACTTTAGCTTGGGAAGGTGTTCAAAACGAAGTATTCGGGGAATCAAGAACAGCAAATTTTTAGCTCAGTGCTTCGGCATCTGGTCCGGATGGTCCCCTACAATTATGCGAAAAGTAGGAGCATCAAAACACACCAAAGTCAAATCATGCTAAACCATGGAATGTTGGCTGTTGTTCCCCACGAAAAACTCGAACAATATAATTTTTAGGAAAAGTTTCGAGATGAGTGTAATCAGGTGCTCATCGCTGAGAAGTAATTCTCGATGTGTAAGGACACTTAGCGTTGGTCACGGATAAAAAGCATAAACCTTGAATCGTACTTGACCGCAAGTAACAAGGCACGTTTACGATGAAATATATGGGTAAAAACAATTCCAACAATCGTAGGCAAAAAATCATAATGAATCGCCGAAGCTATCCCTGGTTGACCCTCCGACATTACAAGAAAAGAAAGATTGAGAAGTAGAAAACTACATAGCAGCAAAATGTGGTCACATGCTATGATCCTGCCTAACAGGAAGGTCGACCTAGTCTGACTAGAAGCGGAGTTGATTTTACTGAGTTGAAGGAAAGTTATCATCACCTAGTTTCTAAGTAGTATAAGCACAACTTCAACAAACACCACATTAGCCATAATAATAGATGAAAACAAAAAACAAGAGAAGTAAAACCCTAAAATCAAACAAATTCCACGAATGAGCGGTTGCGACGCGGCCTTAGCATTCGAGCACGTAATTCGAAGGCTGCCACCGACCATGATTACTAACCCTCCACTACTGACATCTTTCAGTTTACAGTGCTCAATGCTGAGCTCTGTGCTCTGCAAGCGCCCGCAGGTTGGCAACCGAGCCCCAGCTTGGTGATGCCTTTGACTTCTGTTAAAATTTTCTTTCTTTCGGACTTTCCTATTATTTGTTTCCTCTCTATTCAACATTCAATCTTTTCTCTGTGTTTGTGGTTACTTTCAGTTTCCAAAGGTTAATTTCCCCAAGAATGCGAATATAGTTCAAGAGCCCAGTCCACCTTAATGCTATCTTTAGCCGGAAGTGACTGAATTTGACACCAATTAGACATCTTGGTTGAAGATCTTATACGTCCAATTGAAAACAACTCTGAAATAATATTTTAGTGCATTGCAGCAGTACAGGCGCAGCGATGAAATGGATTATGTAAGCGTTGCGCATTTCACAGCGTCGGTTTACTGTATAAGCACTGCAAAACCTCAGTATGACTCAACCTTTTAGGGCGGAGTCCACAAGCCGAAGCAACGAGGAGACAACAAGACCGAACAGCGTCGACTCCCCTTCTTCTTCTCATCCCATGCCCATCGTCTTTCGTTTCGAAGAGCGAAGCCCTTGATACGTAAAGCTGACTTATATCATGCACTGGGCGTGCTCGCTTAGTGCTAGCAGCAAGTGGTTCACCCCTCGCTATGGTTGAAGAAGGGATGAGGTTTCAGTAGGGATCTTAATTACGGTGTCGACTCACGAGGATGGCCACTTCGAACAAGGACTGCAGTACCCTCTTTTTGATCACACCCGGCTCTTTCTCCAGCTATATATCTAAGCGTAACTCCTCCGTCAGACGCCTGCAGACGGCGCCTTTCTTCTAGTGTTTCTTCAAACATCGTCTTTCTTCTGGAATTTGACGGAGCGGTGCCTTTCTTCAGATGTGCAGCTTTCTTCTGACACTCCAGCCAGATGCGCTCCTTTCTTCAAGTGCCTCTTTCAAGCGACCGGTTGGTCAGAAGTTTGGACTTGTTTAAGAGGTACCAGTGGATGTGTGGAAGCCGAGGAAGGCTTAGTGCCCATCTCAGGGAAAAGGAGGTAATGGAAATGTTGAAGCTGAAGAGTGCTTGGACCCCATTTCAGGGAAATGGAGGTAGAGAAAATCGTCGTGGCTGCGCAGCAAATTTCGACGTAAGGATTTGATAGCCGACAGGGTCGGCGGTGGTGAAGAGGTGATAACCGACAAGGTCGGTAGTTGTAGTAAGGAGCGTAACAAGTTGTGATGGTGAGGTTCATTTTGTGCAGTTGTGAAGTCGTGATCGGTGGTGTTATGTTATCGCGGAAATGAAGCAATGGATACTCGAAGACGTAAGTATGTATAGTATTACGGCCGGTTGGCCCAGAGACATTTGTTAACGATCCAAAACCCCTCACTGGTGTGGCTCGAGGCTCCCCCAGTCCCCCTTACCTGCTAGGGATCGAGAAAGTGAGGGACCAGCCATCTCCGCGCGAGTTGGGAAATGGCTGGCGGTGTCAAAGACACCGGCCAACCAAACAGGGCAGGACACGCACTGGCTTGCGGGCATCTCCTACTTTGGCGGTAGAGGTGCCCGCAAACCCGGTGTGCGGCGAAGGATCCGAACTAGAGACCCTCGAGCCACGGGTGATCACTACTTAACGGCAATCACCCGCCCTGCGCCATTCGCCCGGAAGAGGGGTTGCTAGTTGGTTGTCGAACGCGTTAAAACCTGTGTTAACCGGTTGCCTGTTACTATGACGTCACGGTGCAATTTTCTTTTCCTTGTTCTATCACAATATTACAGTATCGCCTTATCAACCTTGTGTCCTCGTACTTCGTAGATTATGATCGTTGTTTCAATCTGCTCTTTATTAACGGTAATATGATACTTTCCTACCCCTTCTGTAGTCGATCTGCAGTACGTTGCTGACTAAGCTCAGTCTTCTCTTACGGTCTCTGCAGATGCCTGTCGTTTTAAATTTCGTGGGTTTCTTATCGAAGATCAGAGATCGCGACCCTTTCTCCTCTCTTTCAATAATTCTTCTTTGTCCTCATTAGTCACTGCACAGTATTGGAGCGCCTCCTTTCTCCTCCCTAATAAACATGCATATAAGTTGGTACCCCACACTTGGGACCGCCATTCCGTTTTCGTTCATTCATGAGCCAGTCTCACTCCACATCTCGGGGTAACTCTCCAAATCTTGGGGCGGCTGCCCCCNCCCCCCCCCCCCCCCCACCTAGACTTGTTTCTAACGGTTCGACCGACTCGATCACCAATGGACTATCGCAAGTCATCTCCAACATCGCTGACAACACCGAGGTGAAGGGGAGACGCGCTAAAGCTCTCCGCGACGCCACGGTGAACGCCACCAACGAGGTGCGGACGGAATTGAAGGGGGTCGCCGACATGCTGCCACACCGAATTAGCCAAGGTACATCTTCCCTGTTGGCCGATCTCAATAATACGTTTGCAGCGGTAGGTAAGCGCATTGACAATATTCCTGTCGTAGCAGCCCGGATGGGCCCTTACACAGACTTGCTCCTTTCGTCGGGTCTGGTGAAGATTCGATGCAATTTTCTAAGTGGCTACGTCGTTTAGAAGAGTGGTGCGGTCCTCTTCGTATACACCACAGCACAAGGCTTGGTTCCTCATCGGCTACTTGGATGGGGCAGCACGAGAGAAAGCCGGTGAGCTCCCTCTGGACAACCGCGAGAACTACGACGCCATCGTCGACCACCTCAGGAAGTCGTTCGAAGGACCTCAGCACAAGTACATGGCACGGCAAGCTTTGTCCGCCGCTTGTAAGCAGCAATTAGGTGAATCTTCTGCAACATTTGCTAATCGCCTGCTCATTTTGGTCCTTGCAGCCACTACAGACCAGGGTCCAGCTACCCAGAAGGAGCGTGTCTTGGAGGAGTTCCCAGAAGGTTCAGTCCCAGGCGCGATCAACACCCTCAAGCGTTCAGCCCTAGGCAGGGTCGGTATCAAGCTCCAAATCATCGGTTTTATCTAAACCGTCCATTTCAGAAGCAGCGCAACGATGGATACTCACGAGACACTCAAGGAGGACCTACCCAACCCTGCTACAACTGCGGAGGCAGCGGGCACTTGGCTCGGCAGTTCCCCTCGCCACGGGGCCAGCGTAGACATGCAGGTACCCCTTCCTATAATGTGCGTTCTCGTTCACTTGACCGTCGTTTGCCGCATTATTCTCGCATCTTCTTAGCTATATCCTGCTCGCCATGATCAGTCTCATGACCTTTTGAAGGCACGCGAACAATCGAGCGCTCTCTGTCTTTCCGCGCGAAGACCAATCAGCACTAGAAGGATCTGAAGCTAGAGCGCATGCTCTCACTAAACGTTGCGGAGAATTAGCTCAAAGTTCTTCCTGCGGCTTGCCGTTCTCCCTTCTAGATCTGGTATGACTCCCTTGTCTCAGGTCAAATTTCTGTTTCCGCTTGGTGCACTTTCGCTATTTCTATTGCTGGGAAGCACTATTGCTCTCCCGACGTCAGCGTGGTTCCACCCGCAGGATTCATCGAATACCTTCATGAGGATTCCATCTTCATATAAACCAGTTGGGCTGCGCACGCTAATGCGTGCACCACATGCCCACCATTATCAAATGTCGTTATCACTGGACCTTCTTTCCTCCACGGGTACATCATTAGTTGAGAATCCCGAACAATTGGCGGTCGGATGAGCTTTGACGTAAATGATATCAAAACGTGAAGTAACCTTGATCTTCCACCGAGTTACAAACCTTGCTGAGTAGCGGTCGTAATCCAATAGTCGTAATCATATATACATCGTAAATACCACATTAGTTAAATTCAGTTGATAAGGGCTCTTATCAGTTGTTATCAGCTGTTATCAGTTCCTATCATCGATCGTCTACGATCCCGCCATACTCCACAATTGCCAAACTGTCAAGGCTCCACTATTAATGCCATCATTATAGTGGATCTACGCTTTGCAGGATTTTCATTAGCCCTTGTCAGTTTTATCAGCCAGTGGCCCGGCACCAATCATTCTCGATCCCGTCGTCGAGTACCTACGATCCGGTTACATCTTACGTAACCTATTAAAATTCCAAGATTCCATTATTAACAGAAAGTGATCTAGATCTAGTGGATCTAGTGGATCTTATAGATCTAGTGGCTCTCGCCTTCTATGGTTTCTTATCAGTTCCTATCACTCGCTATCATTCCCTGTCACCAATCATTTACGGTACCTTCACATCCTCCATCACCTCCCAAAGTGTCAAGACTTCATCGACAATACATAGGGAAATATGGGTCCTGTGGCTTTTGCCTTTTAAGGCTCCTTATCACTTCCTGTCAATTGTTGTCACCTCCCACCCCCTACCATCAGTGTTCCCATCCTGTCATCTGTATTCGTTGCAAATTTGAATGTTCTACGTCCACGGGGACAGGAGTTATGAATTTCCGGTCAGACAAACACACACATACTGACACACACACGTACACACACACACACCACACACACACACACAACACACACACACACAAACACACACGCACGCACACACACACACACACACACACACACAAACACACCAACAGACACACTTAGCCGATTATATAAGTAGCATGTTCGTATTTTATTCCTCACCTCAGCGATATTCCACGTCCTCTTCCTCTATACGTGTATCGCCCAAATACTAAACGATATGATACGTCTGCGTTCCTTCGTAAGATTATGACGCATACAGTGACCTATTCGGTCAACTTTTTGGAGCACTATTTGATAATAGACCCTGCGAATCGTCCCCCTTGAAACCTGAAGCTCTCTGGATATCTTAACGTATTTCGATTGCATACGTTCTCTGCGTCGATTTTTTCCGTACGGTGCTCGTTTCGTTCGCGACGCTCGTACTCCGGTAGTTAGCCTTGACTACTACTTATACGACTCTTACAGGAAACTCGAACCGACTCTTAACTCTCTTTCTCTCAAGCCATGGACAGTGCGCCACAGATCCGGTAGCATCGGACCAATCAGGTGAGTCTGCATCAGTTTCTTCCGCACCGGGATCCGGTCCAAACATAGACGTGATTCACGCTGAATACCCAGCAACGGCCTCGGTCGTAGACGCAGTGCGGTCTCCCGAGCTAGAACAAGAAGCTCCCACCCTTTCTGGCCTTCAGATTTCAGATCTGTCAGCCCTCGACAACAATGATGCGATGGATTCTTCTTCATTCGCTCTGCCAGAGCTCGACCTATCGGAGGAAGCTCTTCTCGCTCCCACGCTGGAACCAGCAGCATCGATGGAAGCTGGCGCAGGCCAGCTTGCACAGTCAATAGGGGATCTGTCCCTCCTTTCTCCAGCTGTGCCCGCATCGTCTAGTTTCGCTAAGCCCGCTTAACAGACCTCACATTTGGACCAATCGGGTGGCCGGAAGGCGCAGGACCATCGGTGATACCACTTCCTCCTGCACTCTCTGCACCTCTCCGTTGCCGTGGAGGGATAGTGCACGTCAGCGCGAGCGGCGCTCCCGCCGGTGGAAGGTTTCGCCATCGTTCTCGACGTGATCGTGCTCCGGTAGCACGACACAATGTGTGTCCGCAGCCTCCTTATTATCCTCACCTGCTAGATATCCCACCCCGGGTTCGTGAGAATCACTTACTCAGCCCCCACCCTTGGTCGCGATACGTCGGTCTCCGGTAGCAACCTACAGGCACTTCCCTGACGCGGCGTATATGAGCATCAAGTTCGTTCGGTCAATGTTTCCCAACTTCGTAGTTCGTAGGCACCCTTACCCGGACCCCATCCCATTCATAGAGCTGCAGCATCTCGAGGATTTCATTGAACTTCGATATATTACCGAAGGCACGATCGTGGCAGTGCGACAGGGAAGATATAATGATATAGACCTGGATCACATCCCCCTTAACACTGACGGCCCTCCGCAGTCCCTTATTGATCCCACCACACGCGACCAGCACCGGCCGGCCTTCTACCAAGTAGTGTCGAGAAGTTGGGGAACCGGAGTCATCCTCGAGACCGAGGATTTCTTTTTGGTCAGTCCAGACCGCAGGGATCTCCATTGCATTGTCCTCGATCAATATGCGATCAACGACCTAACGGGATTGCGCGGATTCGACAAAGCCAAAGTATCGGTGTATGATATGAAGCCCACTTGACAAGCTCTACGGAACTCCGAGAAGACCCTCACCGCGTCGCGATACCCCCGCACTACAGCGCTCGACATGAACTCCACCTACTTTTTCGCAAAATCATTCGCATTCGTGACGCCAGTAACGCTCTCGGAGCCAATTTACGGCATCATATTGTCGCGCAAATTCACGCGAGTAGGAACAGTCGCCTACGTTAGGGCTGTGTCTGAAGGAGTGCCCGGCGCCATTACCCTGACTTACTCGATCTGTGATTTTTACTAGGGTATATCGTCATGGCTACCACGCGGGCTAACGTCTCCTGCGCCATGTAATTTCCGAAACCGTCGGCCTCCTCCGTGGCCCGTATAGCCTTGTGCAAGCTGGTCCGTCAGTTCCTCCCCATGCACCCCGATGAAGGGTTAGTTCTGTTCCGGGTTTGGCGGCTGCAGGAAAGTGACTACGCGTGGTCAGCTGATCGCGCAGGTCCCTTCAAGAACTACCGCCGCAACCGCGACGAGGCAAGGTTACATATGTCGAAGTTATTTAACGTGGCGTGCTCCACCCTGGCGGCGAACAAATCCGCGGAGGACGATCGCCTCTCCCACAGACTAACGGCCTCGACAACCCGTCCATGTCAGTATCCCGCGAGGTTCGGGCTTCCGGATAGGACTTCGAAGCTGGTTGGGTTCTTCAGCGCCCCGTGGCCTTGCATATCCTTGGGTCAAGTACCATTTGCCGAGCGAAGATAGCACGCGTGGAAATCTCCCCGTCCAACTTGTTCTAAGCGTCACTATAGGAGCGTTTATTTGGCCACACCACAGCATCAGCGACGCGATTTACAGATATGGTCGCCACTCTGGCGCGCTAAGCTTTGTTGTAATAGACGTGCAGACAGACCAATCGTGCCAACCCTATTTACGTATCTATCGCGTATATGCAGACCTTCGCCGATATGAGTCCCGCTTCGCTCGCCAGTAGGATAGCGAACTTGGTCTGGGGGGGGNACACCAGGATGCTCCCATGGATCAGGCGGAGGCCGGCGACCCTATCATGGTTGGCTCGTCCTTTCAGATTCGCGGAACAACTATGGTTCTGAGTAATGACCAAGCGGAAGCCGTTCGACTGGCGGTCAGCAACGAGCCGATTGTGGCCATTCAAGCGGCTCTTGGCATAGATAAGATGGTGGCGGGAGCTATAATAGCGGCGCTCTTCTCGTCGCGACCACCATCAACAGTAGTTGTAACAGCAACTCTAATGCGGCGGTTGCCCAATTTACAGAGACTTTATTAAACCTCGATGACTTCGCTCATCTTGAGGTTGTTCGCTATTTATCGGACACCGCAGCGTCCGACAACCTATATCCCACGGGGGTAGACCTAACTGTAGTCCTAAAATCGCTCGGCGATCGTTATGAGGCTCAGCTCGGTGCAGCTGAGCGAGAATTCTGTAGAGGATTCAAGGAGAAACGAGAGCTCCTTGAGCGGTGCCTAGAAGACCCCACTATGTTCCTCTACATGTCCGAAGAGGGCCAAAACGAATATGGGATTGCGGAGCGCTCCGTCTCCCAACCCATAGAGAAAATGGTTATGCTTATGTTCCGTGTCCAACGTCCGGCCATCCTTTGTCTCACTGCGGGCTCGCTGCTGAATTCGACGGACCTGGCAAACGGCCTCTTTCGTAGATACTCGAGCTCCTTTGGTGCAATAATAGGAGACGAAGCGTCTCAGGTACCCGGGCCCGCCCTGGCTGCCATAGCTAGCCGCATTCCGGAAGCGAAGCAGTGCTACATAAGGGATATACACCAACTTGAGCCCCATGCTCGATGTCAACGAACTTCGACCAGTCATTTTTGGCGCTCGCAACGTCATGAGTGTCCTAGTGGGAGCCGAAGCCGTGCCGGTGTCTCTTCTGGTTACAACCTTCAGGGCGCACCCCGCTCTAAATGCGCTCCCTAACCTTGTGGCTTACGATGGCACACTCCTTAGGGGGTACCGATTCCGAGTCGCGACATCTCTTGCTGTCCGCTATGCGTTTCCCCATCCCGGGAATCCCCTTTATGTTTCTCAATATTGAAGGGCCGCTCCGAGAAGGCAGCCACTAGGTCGCATTTTAACACGGACGAATCTCATGGCTGCGTTCGAATAATCGAACTGCCGTTAGGAAATCGCATCCAACAAGCTCAGGTCTGCGTAATATCTTTCTACAAAGAGCAGTCACGCCATCTTCAGACACGCCTCGACCAACTCGGCGTCGAGCTGACCACTGTGAACTACGTCCAAGGACGTGAAAAAGAGGTAGTTATTCTTCCACCAACCAGAACAAACGTTTCCACTAATTCAGCTGACTTCTTAAACAATTACAAAGGGTCAACGCAGCAATCACGCGATGCCATCATGGCCAGTTCATCCTGGGCAACGTCAGATATTTGACGACCGTACCGTTTTGGCTGCGGATCCTCGACTGGGCAGCGTCGATCAATGCCATAGTTCCAGTATTGACTCTCGAATGGTATTTTCGCGGGTAATGTCCCGTCACAGTGAGTTCCGCTCTTCAGTCTTTTAAGTCCGGGACGGAATTGGTGTAAATGTGAGAGGTGTAAGCGAGGTCGCATTTCACAGCGTCGGTTTACTGTATATGCACTGCAGAACCTCAGTATGACTCAACCTTTCAGGGCGGAGTCCATAGACCGAAGCAACGAGGAGACTTCTGGCGACAACGACACCGAACAGCGTCGACTCCCCTTCTCCTTCCCATTCATGCCAATCGTCTTTCACCTTCGAAGGGCGAAGCTCTTTATACGTAGAGCTGACTTATATCATGCCGTCGTAGTAGAGTATTTGTATAACAGTTCCTTGCCCATTGCTCGTATGTGCGTTTATTGCCTAATCATGTAGCTTCAAGATCGGGTCGTCCTACCTCCTTGTTCAATATTGATGTCTTAAAGATGAACTCTATTAATCCGACGCCTCGCGTAACATGATATCAGCCGCTCCACTGGGCGCGCTCGCTTACTATCAAACAATTCAGAGTTTAGCCGCAAACCCGAAACCCTCATCGAGGAGTCGGTGTGGATCCGTTCTCGAAGACAGCGGCGACCTTTCCATCCTTATCAGAGCAAAGCTTTGGACACAATGAACAACCTGACGACTTTCATCTGGCGACCGCACCATTGACATCTTTTGTGCTGTTTTGTATGTCTTTTGCTTCACAGTTATGTCAATCATTAAATGCGGGTGATCTATCATTCGTCAAATGGACTATATTAAGATAAAACTATCACAGCCTTTTGAGTCTGCATTTTCTTACTTGCTCTCTCCTTATCATAGTTGTTTGTTATGACGATATTCTTGTGCCGTGCGGAGTTTCCAGGTAGAACAATTTTTCGACTCAGCGACCTAATGTTTCGATACTATCGTCTTCTTCAGAGACAACTCGAGGTGATTTTCATGGTATCCAACAAGCTTCCTAACTCCTTTTGCAAATGTGACGACTATTAGGGGACCGGTATTTTGAAAAACGGTTAACCAAGGGTTTCATGTTCCGGACTTCCTGCTCTCCCTTATCCTACTATACATACATATGTATATAACGCGCCAAGCGTATCTGTTGGTTTGTGTATGTGAATGGTTGCGTGGGTGTCGCTGTGGATGTCCGACCAAAAATTTGTAACTCCTTTTCCCCGGTTACAGAGTGTCCAGACTAGGTAGGGGTACAGCAGGCAGGATGGGAGAACGGAGGGTCAGTGGCAAGACACGACTCCGCCCACAAGGCAGGCGTGGAAATTGTTAATTTTGACTTGGGGCGTCCAAAGCTGGTACCAGTACGGACGGCAGGTTTGAGACACCGATTGTTGGTGGTAGAAAGTTATGGGGCTGGAACTTCAGGCACACCACGCCCTCTCCACCCTCCCGCCCGCGGGATGGGAGGGGTGGGAGGCATAGTCAATTTGGAACAAGTGGAGAACGAACGATGTTACTAAAACACGCAAGCCTTGATCAGGACTTTGCTCATGGTGGGCGCGGCGGGAGCAGGAGATGACGTAATTTGAAGGAAATTGACAAGGAGACGTCCGCCGGGCAATCCTCCACACAAATGACAAAATTTGGTACTCATTGTAAGGAGGACTATGTTATAGTGCTAGTGAGTCACAACTCGAACAGCCGCGTAGAAGATTTCTTCTGCGTTATTTGTCTTGGAAGATGGTCGCGACAAAGTCAGCTCTGTGAGCGCAGTGCGATAAACTGTGAAATTCACCCATTCAGCCACGGCCCCTCCTCCCAGGAGCTGCGAAACTCGGAGCGATGGTAGTTTGGCACGCGTTACGGTTTCGGCAACCCTAATCTTCTTTGTAATGCATTAGACGTGTTAAATTCAGGTTCGTCTTTTGCAACTGCGCAGAACATAAATGCACATTCGTTTTGCAAATTTGTCGGAGGTCTTCAGATGTTGAGAAATCTACTGCGTACCAGGAGCAGACGGGATCATGTCCTACATCCCAAGCATGACTTGGCAGCTTACGTGCCATTTCCGCGTAGTTCATATAAGGCCCCTCCTTACAGAACCCAACAGATGCCAGAGGCTGACGTAAGTTTGAGATGGTTTGCGGGGGACCACTATCTGTTCTAAACCAGAGTAGAAGGTCTCAAGACACAACCTGATGTATAAGCAAAGGCAAGGGATTAGTGGCAAAGGTGTTCAGTTCGCCATTATGCCTCAAATACTTGGTTGGAACCGAAAAACCGTACTTCATCACAGTAAATGCTCTGGCTTTTCACAAGAAGGACCTTATTCGTTCTTCTAAATCACAAGATGGTCGAACCTTAAAAATGAGGGGAGAAAAGGCGGGAAAACTTCTGTGTTGGCATCAATTGGCATGGATCATTACGGAACATACTGCGATATTCCATTTCGCCTCTGATGCGCAATTCCTCTGCTCATATTCAGGCCAAATTTTGAAAATGTTCATGAGGTCAACGACTGTCTCTTCAACGGCTGTCGTATGGGTCCCACAGTCGAAAATGAAGAGTATCTTCTCGTACTTCTGCTTTCTGTGATTCCACCAGTCCCCTGAGTAGCCATCATAACCAAATGAGAACGTGCCTTATTTTGCTCACCAGGACGGGAGTGTTCTAATGTGGACAATGTAAAAAAAGTAGTTCTTCTCGGCAACAGATAGGATCCTCAGTGATTTTTGTAGAGAATATAAATGATTAATCTTGTGGCAAAAAAGTGCACTTGTTCTTGATTCGGGGCTGCAAGTCGAATATCATATTACCAGTCCGATCGCGCGGCTGACGCCAGGCTCTCCTCCTTCTTGTGTCAAACACACTATTCGGAGAAATGATGAACTGAAGAATTTTTTCTTTTTTTCCAAATTTATAGCTTTTAAGTTTTTTCCGCTGTTTAGCTGAGTTTGAGTTTTCTCCCGCTGTTCAGCGAGTGAGAGTATAAAGTTGAAACAGAGCTCGAAATCCTTCTTCGACACAACAGAAATCGAAAGCTCACCTAATTCTTTGATAAAGTTATGAAGTTCAACTCTCCAGTCTTTTTTCGAAAGAAATTAGTTTCCTGCACACGAAATTTGGTACAGGACTAACAGGGCAGTGCAAATGGTATTCAGTTAAAGTCGGCTCTTATGCCTTTGATTGGAGGTCTCGAGCTTTTGCTCTCTTTCTTAAAAATAAATACCCATCAAAAAATCGAAGTGTTAGACAATCAAAGATGATGCTGTGAAGATGTTCTGTGTGATGATAGCGCCGTAATCAGATGTTCTCTATCAATGAACCTTTTCTTTATGGAGATATCATTAGTTGAGAATTCCAGATCACTGGCGGTAAATTAAGTTCTGTCGCGAATGATATCAAGCAAAGAGGATCTTTCATTGAATCACAAACCTTGCTGGGTAGCGGTCGGAATCAAATAGGAAGAAATGAACAAAATCCTAATCTGCTCAACGTAGTGCCGCTAATGGGTCCCTGTCACTTGTCTTATTGAATGAGACATACTGAACAATCAAAGCTACATCGTAAATACCGAAGGGTTAGGGTTTTGATGGGTAGGTGGCCTCTCTTTGGTCCCTTAACTTCTCTTATCAGTTATGATCAGTTCTTGTCACCGAGCACCTACGATCCTCTCATAACCTACATCACTTACTAAAATGCTGGGGTTCCACTGTTAACACGAAAAGAACAATCCTACCAAATTTCAACGCACTAAGTCCACGTGAACAGAAGCTGTGAATTTGCGGCCCAACTTTTATTGCGCACGCATCGCCCCTGTGCACGGAATCCGGTCCCACCACCCACCATAAGTATTCCCATCCTGCCTCCCGTACTCCTACCGAGTTGAACGCTCTATGTCCACGGGGACAGGAGTTATGAATTTCCGGTCAGACCCACACACCGACACACACACACACAAACAAACACACACAAACACAAACACACCGACAAACCAAACGACACACTTGGCGAATTATATATAGTAGAATATATACCCTTTGGTGGAGCTAATACTCATGAAATGAACCAGCTTGCCATAGACATACTCTTAACAGCGAATTTTCTCTTTAATTCGGTCAGGGTGTTCTGCTAGGAAATATGTGCTGTCTTGAAGCTGCTCCTGGATCGAATAGGGCTTTACGACGCCCTCTCAAGGTTTCGCACAGCATGGCATAGCAGCATATTGAATTTGGTCGAACGTTGTTGAGCAACCTGCTGCTGGGTTCCCAGCTGGCTTCTTTTTACTATTGTTTACTATTGAGGCCCTATTCACGAGTAGGTTCCTGCAATTATGATTATAGAGAGTATGAACTGACCCTTTCATCAGAATCGGTTGTGCTCAAATGAAAATGAGTGGAGAAGTAGCGTCTGGCGCTTGTAGAATTCAATTGATCAAGTATGTCGAGATGTGAGGTATGTGCACAGAGGTGTAATATGACGAATGGCCGTGGGAC